GGATGAGGCTTGGAGCAACCTGGTCTGGTGGAAGGTGTCCCTGCCCATGGCAGGGGGTGGGGCTGGGTGGGCTTTAAGGTCCCTTCAACCCAAATCAGTCTGGGATTCTATGATTCTATGAGATAGCAGGACAGACAGCAGCTTTGCTTTCCAGAAAGATCAGGAGGAGCTCCAGTCTGTTCCCTTATCGAAAACCCTGCAAATGCCTCAGAACATCTCATTTTCACAGAAAGGATTTCTTTGCTGCTGCCATAACTCTTGCTGGGTTTTGTACGTTAAATGCTTTTCTGTCAAAGGTTGTGCCAGAGAAGCACGACCCCCTGTTAACGCTCTCTTTTTCACATGCGTCTCCTATCCTACCCTCTGGCAGCTCTTCAGGTTCCCCTCTGCTAGCACAAACTGACAGCGGAGACCGTAACGAGCTGCTGAAAGGAAGCTGCTGTTCAGGGCTGGTGGAAAATGCTCACACTTTGATTACAAAACAGAAAATACGAGTGGTGCCTGGGGGAGCGGCTGGTTTCCAGCAGGAGGAGTGACAACTCTCACCCCAGCATGGAGGGAATGCAGGGTGAGCACGCTCACCGAGCCAGGCTGCTGGAGATAGTAAACATGGATTACAACTGCCTGGCCAGCAGCCCTTGGCCCTCTGCAGCCACTTCCATCTCCAGGGGAAGGAGTCCGAGTGCGCTCCACTGTTCCCGGTGGTCCGCAGCAGTGATGAGATTGGTGGGTGTAACTGCAGTTTCTATAGAGATGTTTATTGGAGGGGTATAAAAATAGACTGCACAGTTCAATAAGATGTATTTAAACACATCATCTGCAAATCTCCCATATATTGGTGGGACATGAGCCCAGAAGATTGGCAGCACGTCCAGATTCCCTGGTGCACCCAGATCTAGCAACCAAAGCACAGCCTCAGTCCCCAGAGATGAGTTATGACCCTTCTTTCTGCAAACCTTTCCGTCCCTCTGCAGCACGCTGCTCCGCTTGACAAGCGCTCTCACCGGGCACGATTCCATCAACCAGCCACTGGAAATGCAACCCGGGGTAGGGCTCGGTGTCGGCACCTGCAGAGTCCGGGTGAAATGTCTTTGGCATCGGAGAGGAGCCCCTCAGCTGATGCTCTCTGGACAGATGGAGAAGTTCCTCCTCCGCGTGGTACGCTGATAATGGTAGTAAATATGTGCAGTATCACACCAGTTAGGTTAGTACTGAGTAATGCATAAATGAGCATCTTGGATCTTTAACAGTCCTCCTGCTAAAAAAACATCCAAAGCCAGGTCAAAATTATCCTTTTCCTGCTCTTGGGAGAGTTCCAAAAACACCTGAAAAGGGCAAGATAAAGCTCTGATTATTTCTCTGACATTTACTAGACACCATGAGGAGGTACAGCTCTGCAACCCCCATGAGAGCCATGTGAGGTAGCTTTACGTGGCGAGCACACATGCAGTAGCTGAGACTCCTCTGCTCTCTGCCATAACCTGCAGAGAAGCACCAGCTGCCCATAGGTGTATCTGTAGGGTAGGTTTTACCCACGGATGGGTTGACATCAGCATTCCTCATCTTTGCCCTCAGCCTTCTACAAGCAGCTTCAAGAGCAACCGCAGAGGCTGGGCACGGTCATCTGCCAAGGGCATCCATCCCGTGGCGTGCTGCGTGCTGGCCTTGGGGGTGTGGAGTCAGGCAGCAACACTTTGCCTGGGTTTGTTCCCACCATGCTAAATCCCAGCAGTGAAAAAACCCAAACATTTTTCACCACTTTCCCAGCAGAAAACCCCTCTCGCACCACCCCCGGGCAGTTTTTTGGGGAAGCAGCCTTCTGCCACTGCAGCGGCCCAGATCTTGCTGCAGCTTTTGTTCCTGCTCACGCCTTTACGGCATGTCCAGCCTTAAAATCACGTGCCTGAGCCAAAGTATTCAAAGAGAAGCTGTAGTCCTCGAGGCTGAAGTTTCTTTTGGCTGTGGAAAAATGGAAAAAGAGTTGTAAATCAGCAGTCTGTAACAACCTTTTCAAAAAGTCATCTTGTTTTGCTCTTACCTTCCTCTAGCTTGGAGAAAGACTGAGACAAGGGCAGTGCATCTTCCATTGGGACCTTGTAGACTAGCAAAGAGGGGAACCTGGAAGAAAAAGAAGAGAAGGTGATTCATGCTCTGTATTGAGGTTCTGGGATCAAAACTTTATGTCATGCTATGAGTGGGATGCATGGATGCTTTGCAGCAGGGTTGGATGTAGTGACGTTATCAAATCAGATGCCCACGTAGGGACTCTGAGCTGTTTGTCTCTCTCCAGCTGAGATCCTGTGTCTGGCCATCACACCAGGCACATGTTTAGGGATGAGGTAGTGCTGGAGCCGCCGTTCATCCCGTATTTTATAGTTACCGCTCCTGACGGGCTGCACTTGGGAAAATCCTCAAAATCTCAGCATGGAGAAGATCAGAGCACTCTGGGTCCTTGACCTTAATTTCCAATAGGTAGCCTTTGCCAAACTTGTTCTTCAGATGCTGAATGGAGCCAATGCACCTGCAGGGGAGGAAAAATAAAAGAGAGATGTCAGTGTGAAACCTTTGATGTCCCGCCATCTGCTGCTTCCCAAATTGTGCTGCTGGCGAAACCACGGGGAGTACTTAATAAAGCCCGTGGTGATGGGCTCAGGTAGGTGAGGCCAGAGGAAAAGCCCCGTCACTGCATAAACCAAAGAGAGGCCAGGAGGCATTTCCCAGCTCAGCCGCGTGCCGGCCGTGCTGCTGCCCACCGTAGCTGCCCGGACACCATGATGGCCACGCGGTCGCACACCGCCTCCGCCTCCTCCATGTAGTGCGTCGTCAGGATGGCTCCTGTCTCCTCGGCTTTCAGGGCAGCACGAATCATTTTCCTGAGGACCAGAAGGGGAAAAAGCAAAAAAAGCTAATATTCCCTAGGAATATCAGACACTTTTTCTTATAACTTTGTCCCTCCAAATGCCTCTCCCCTAAAACAAGTGTGAAAACTTCACATACAGCAACTTTAGACTGATGACTCAGGTCCCTTTATGAATTCTCCCAAATCCCATATATGATTGCCCTGAAGTTTGCAGCAAGGGTGAAGGTAAAATGTTTTTTCTCTCTCCTTGCTTATGCTTTAGCTAGAGAGAACCAGGAAAATGGCGTTTCCAATAAAACCATTGCACATCATGAGGAGCACTATCCATAGATTGGGTGAACCACATTGCCCTTGTCCACCGTGGTGGCACAGTGCCTGAGGTCCTACTCACCAGACAGAGCGCTGCCCGTTGGGATCCATGCCGGTTGACGGCTCATCCAGGAGCAGGACGGCGGGGTTTCCCAGCATGCACGCTGCGAAGGACAGCTACAACAGGGAAAGGGGTTTGAGTCAAGTCTTTTGCAGTCCCTGGCACTCTGTCTATGAAGAGCTGCAGACAGCGTCGCTTTGTTTATGGGAAACAAGGTTCTGATTTATATGAAATGTGGTTTTGGAAAAGGCTAATTTCCATGACACCACCATGGGAGACAACACGGTGCTCTCCTGGGGATCTCAGAGCACAGGTAGGTCCCTCTACCCATGGGGGGATTTCTGGTTTGTGCTATGAGTGTTGCAGTGCTCTTTACAGGTAAAACAAAACACACCTTTCTGGTTATCCCAGCAGATAATTTTCTGGCCTTTTTTTTTAAATAGTCTTGAAGGTGCAGAGCATTCACTATTCTATGGGGAAAGGGAACAAGGGAAAAAAGAACATTTTTGTTATTCCCAACTCAATACTTTCATCAAGGATTCCCAAAATTATAAGAAAAAGGAACTTTCTCCCCCTTGCTCTTGACTCCTGCTTCTTTTCATTAAACATTTATTGTGTTATTAAAACATAAGTGAATATTTGAAGCAAAGTGTGCTGAATAAGCCACAAGCTCTTTTCTAAGCCCAACATTAGTGTCAAGAGCGTTATAAATCCATTCCACCTTGCCAGTGTCAGCTGAGCAGGCAGTACTTAAGCACCCTTTCTTGTAGTGCCAAACTGAGATTTTAGAAATGCTTCCTAAAGATAACAGACTTAAAAGGACATTAGTGATAAATTTATCCCCACCAAATGCACTTAGGGAAATTGGAGTTTTTCTTAACCCACTCACTTAATCATGGCATTTAGTACAAAATCAGTTTTGCAGCTCCATTTCCTGAATTTCTTTCAAGATTGCCTCTGGCTCACAGTGAGTTGTGACTTGCTGGTCCCCTCCCCATGCCCTGCTACAAGGGGATAAGACATTGACCAACCCGTGGAAACACCCTCCATCCGTACCGGTTGACAGCAGCAGCTGTATCCTCCTTGCACACCCCTTTCACGGCTGCATACACCCGCAGGTGCTGGTGCACGGTGAGGTCCGGCCAGAGCGGGTCCTCCTGCGGGCAGTACCCCAGGAAGGCTGGCGTGTGGTCCTGGAGGTGGGAGCTGGATCCATCTCCCCTCTTCATCAGCACCTGCACAACCAGGCTGGTCGTTTTGCTCTGGCATGGCCTTGCCCAGATACAAGGGTGTGGTTCAGAGGAAGACGAGGGCCTTCACTGGGATTTAGGAAACCCAGAGCAAAGGAGTGCTTTTGCAACCCTCATTTACATGGTTTCTAAGTATAAACGTGGCCGGTTTGGGTAGATGCAACTGCTTGCCAAACTTAGAAGTAGCTCACAATATTTGTTATTAATATGTTATTTAATTTAGTAGCACCACACATTCAGTTAAAAATTTGATTCCTAATAATGCTTTGAAAAAAACTATGGCTTAGCCTCGGTACAAGATTTGCACTTGTACTTTTATCATGGATCTATCCCTTTTCTCCAGATGCCTCCTACCTGGCCAGCAGTCAGAGTTGTCTCTCCAGTAATCATTTTGATAGCTGTGCTTTTACCAGCTCCGTTGGGCCCCAGAAGTCCTAATACTTCTCCTGGAATCAATACAAATAATTTTTTATATTTCTCCCCATCCAACAAATATATATTCAACAAATATATCAGGCACAGTCCCGTAAAAGAAAAAATACAGATGAGAGCATGCCCACATCACAGACCACATAGAAGTATAAATATATGCTCTGAGAGCCCGTGACGTTTCAGCTCTGATGCTGCAAGTCTGAGCGCTGCCCCAGGGCACTCAGAACCCGTGGCTGAAGTGGACCCCGGGGAGAGGGGGCGATGTTATTTTAGATAACGGAGGGTCAGAGGTAACTCATAGGGTGCATCTGCGTCGCGTTGTTCATTAACACATCAAGCACAGTCCGAACATACCTAACCACCGAGCAAACAGATTTGACCTTTATGTCCTTGCTTAGATAACTGAGAATCTGAATTAACTTTCAGGGTATCATCAGGGGTCCAAAACAGGTCTAGGAGAACAGTTCCAGTTCTTACCTTTTTTAACACAGAAGGAAACATTTTTGGTGGCCATTTTCTTCTTCTTCTTAAAAACTGAACCAGCTTGCTTTATTTTGTATTCCTTGCACAGATTGCTGACAATAATGACCGATTTCTGAAAGCGAGGAAGAAGAAGAAAGACTAGCCTGTTATACTGGATACCATTAATTCTTCACTAATATTTTTTCCATTAAAAAAGTAGAACAACTTCTAAAGACCTTTGTTTATAGTTCGCTGAGAATATGAGGTGCAATGGGACACTTTATTGTCCGTGTTCCTCTTAACAGCTTTCTTCTCTACCCTGAGGAGACACACACTGAACATGTGGGAGTATAATACAGAGAGAATAATACACCCAGAGCACTGACCTGCACTTACCCTTGGTGGTTTGATTTTTTTAACAGTGTGTTTCTTACTGGGACAAAATAAAACAAGAAGGACAGCATTTAGTCTTACCTCCTCCCGACTCGGAGCCGCTATGGCATTTCCCACTGCTGCTCTTTCAGCTTTAACATCTTCATCTTCCTCTTCGAGCTCCTCGGGGTGCTGGTGGTTGCTTTCTCTTCTTGGGGAAATCCTACAAACCCACCAGATTCGCCTTAGCATTCTGTTCTTTACCCTCGTTCTCCATCAGTGCAATTTGGATACACCGAGAGTGAATGTCCCTCTGATTAAATGTTTCTTATGGGTTTATTATTATTATTTTTTTTTAATAATTCTATGCTGTACAAAGAACCAAACTGGTACATCCACACAGCACAGGCAACACTGTGTGGAGGTACTAACAAGCTTGGAATGTGTTTTATATTATCGTAGCACTGTAGTATTTAAGGGGCTATTTTAGTTATTAAAAAAAATCACCAGTATTAAAAAAAAAAAAAAAATTGGGACACAAAAGCAATGATATCAATAGAAGTGTCTTCAAGGAAAAGCACTATGGTAGGGGTTCAGCTTTCATGTGCCTGTCGTGCATGAGTGTTTATACAAACCTAAATATTGGGTCCTTTCTCAGAACTGCTCCTCCATATTTTACCTCCAAATATCGAAGAAGAAAAATGAAACCCACAGAGTGGATATAAGGCTGAAAAAAAGAGGTTGCCACATTAACAGGTTTGCCTTTCTAGTACAGCTGAATCTGTGATGGGGGTGGGGTGGGGTGGGTGGGGAAATATGGTATGCAAAAATAAAGTTCATTAACATCTAAACTCAGGGTAATCCTGAAGGCTGTGAGCCCTACTACCCCTTTCCAACACTGCAGAAAATACCAGTGGTAGAAGAAAAACACAATTCATATAATAACAGGGCAGCATTAAGTGATCTGGGCTTATTTCCTTTTCCTCCCGTTTCAAAGGAGTGAGGTTATTTTTTCCACAGAGGGGTGATCTGTCACCCGAGATCCTCCCTGTGCATGAAATGAGCTCAGGGTTCTTGCCTGCTTCCTCATAACTGAGGATGGGGCTTAAGAGACATGTATTCCTAAATAAAAGTAACCTTAAATGATTTCTTACTGCAAAGGCAGCGATCAGTACATCCTTTCCTGGAAACACAGCAAATATGTCAGTGTCTTCTATAAAAATCTATAAGGAAAAAAAACCCCACAAAAACCCCACAGTAAAGATCTGTAATTCTTTCGTATCATGCTGGCTAATTTTGGAAGGGTTAAAGCAAATAACAAATACTTTGAAAACGTACAAAAGCTTCTGATTTACCCAAAATAGTCACATACAGATGAACAAATACAGCTGTTTGTTTGACTTCGGGCATCCCAGTACTCATGGGTACCCATGACTCAGTACCAGAAAATGCCATGGTACTGAGTTCATGTATCAGGCTCTCCTTTTGGGGGTACTATCACAGGAAAATGTCTCAACTCCTCTCCTTTGGGGTCCCAGTTGAGAAGAGGGGGAGGTGAGTGGGACAGGACAGCGAGTCGTCTATTCTATTTTGATATCACTCCTACATCATTTATGGCTCATAAACAGTCTTGCACATAGCTGGAGGGTTTTGTTAAATTCTTCACTGAGTTCACACAACCACCCTCAGCTGACATGGAGTAAAGTGCCTTGTGAGTACTCTTAATTCTCACCCAGTTTCCATGCAAAGTCAGATGTGTTACTTCAAATTTTCTCTTATGATTTTTCAAGCCAAGTTGCTCAGCTCTGCATGGAAAGAATTAAGAATCCTTACCTAATCTAAGGTCACAGCTCCACTGCGCGAGAAGTAGCCCCTAGCCATAGTGAACAGCTGGAAAATTTGGATCTGATCTGAAATGGTCATGTAACAATGCACTCCGGCCATTTGGAAAATCCCACCCACAAGAGGAGACTGATGAGCCTTCCCAGAACGCAGCGTGCGGTTACCTCCAGGCTCTGCTCCCAAGGACACACGGTTGTGTTTTATGGGGGTGCCTCTCCTCGCCCAGCACCACCCCTTACCTGCTGGTGGCTGATCATCACACCCAGCAGTGGGTACACGGGGATCAAGAGGGACAGAACGTAGAGGGACACTCTAATATCGATTAAGAAATCCATGACTCTGCTGATGATGTAAGAAACCAAGCATACCTAAAAAGTAAAATAAAAGGGTAACTTAGCTGATGGGGAGGGTTACGCTCTTCACTGGTCTTAAAAACTGTGTAGGTCTGCCTTTTCAATTCCCTGTTGAATTTCTAAAAATGGACAAGAAATATAAAGACAAGACACAGTGAGGGTTCAGGAGGTCCTCAGTCATCTCTGCCTGAGGGTAGGCTGCTGGTTTGGGTCAGCCGGGGAAACTCCTTCCCAGACACAGGGCTGCTGCAGGCAGAATGAAGCACAGGATCCCATCCTGTTCTCTGCCATCCCATTTTATGCCAAATAACCCATCTCCTTCCTGGTCAGTCTTGGGCAATCTGCATCTTACCTGTGATGGCTCAAGTCTCAGCACCTTACATCTCTTGGATGGGAGGTGTTGAACAGAGTGTTAAATAACTTTTTTCCTCTATTCCTGCACCAGCTCAGTGCAGATCCAAACATTTCCCCGTGCTACAGAAGGATTGTGGGATCAGAACATGGTGACATGAAGTTAATACAGAATTGACTGCTATAAAATATAGGCCCCTATTTATGTTCTATACCTATACTTGGTATTTTGACCTCTAGCTCACCCTCAAGATCTCAAAATACGTTTCCATAACCCTACAGCACAGTACCTAGCCATATGCTTACCACTATCAGGATAAGAGACCAAAAATCACGGTTCCATCCTTTTCGAAAGACAAAGGAGATCGAATAGACAAAGAGAACGATAGAAATTCCATAGCCAAAACTACAAGTGATCTACAGAAAAAAAAAAAAAAAGTATTTCACTGGAGAAAATGATCTAAACAATCAGAAACCTATATATAGCAATGTGGTTCAGTTTAAATGATCATACATCAAGATCAGGGCTTCAGAAATTATCACGATTTTACTGATAAGTGTAAAGGAATATATTAAGGCAAGATTTATTGCCTTTTATTTCCAGATGGGGAAACCCAAATGATACAAGGTGAAACAAGAAGGTCAGTCAGCATCTGGGGACCCAGCGGTGTGCCAGCACCATCTGCGCCCATGGCATCTCAGCTACCCCTCCACATGCTCAAAATATTACCCCCAATCCCTCCCTAGTGAACCAGTGAGCACCAGAATGGGATGTACCAACAAGAAGAGGCTGTTGATGCTCCGAGAAATACTGTTGCTCATGGTGAACTGAAGCCCAAGCATTGAGAAGAGAAGGAGCCAGCACAGCGGGATGTCCACCAGCGCTTGGCCGCACCAGTCCGAGGGAAAGACCCCCGAGGTCCGCAGCTGGGCACGAGCCCCCACCTGGGAAGGCACAAGGCGGTTTATTTTTGGTGCCTGGTTGGTCCTCTGCACCCACGGGAATAGACACAGGAAATAAAAAGCTAACAAAAAGCTGTTACCATTGCAATACTGGGGTAAAATTCCACCTCTTTTTGCCTTTTGCATTTTCTGCTGCAAAGCTGCTCGTGGCAATACAGAGAAAAACGCCTCAGGCTACCCATCATATTCAAATGGCCTCGTGTCAATGCAATTGTAATCCCTTCTGCTCACCTCAAATCTGCTCCATTTCAAGGAATTTACCTTGTAATCCTGCATGTAGCCCATTGCAAAGTGAGGTGGAAAACCAGGGAATAAAAACAGCATATAAACAAGGTAAAAAAGCCCCAAATAATCCCAGGATCGTGGATCATCTACCTGAAAACAGAAGAAAGCATTTGTAGAAGATATCCACGGCTAGATGGCACCACTCATTTTATTGCTTTTTGTATGGTGAACAGGGCAGTGTGAACACAAAGTAGGATTTGAAACCAAATGTTGGCAGGAGGAAAGTTTTCCCCAAACCAGAGCCCTGCAAGGGACTTGACACCGCTGAGGAGACACGAGTGGTGCAGGTCCCACTCCTGGGTCCCAGATGTGTGGTGAGCTCTCTCTTCTGTCAGTTGATGGGCCACAGCTTGAATAATGTGACACAGGGAATAAGATACCTCCTGAAGAACACCCCCCCCAACCCCACCACTCTTTCTGTTCAGCAGCTCTTGAGACTCACAAGGGAAAAATTAGCTTTAGGTTTCCTGAAGTCAAGCGTGATGGTTCCAGGGCCACCACCAAGGAAGGTGGGTTAACAGGTACAGCCGTACAAGGCTTCCCATTGAAATCTGGTGACCTACTCTGAGACCTTAAGCAGACTTAAGAACTATTTTCTGACACCTTCTGGCTGCCAGGCTCTGGCACTTACGGAGAAAAACGGATGACTCCAGATCCGAATGTGCACGGTGGAGTTGAGGGCTCTCAGCAGGGCATTGCTAATGACATTCACAAGCACCGGGAAGCAGTTGACGGCCTCCACATGGCATAACACAGTAAACCTGTAGCTCTTCAAAGAGCAAGAAAACAAGATGAAAACTTGGCTTTTCTCATCTGCAGGGAAGCAGTAGAAAAGGAGCATACAAGCAAAATCCAGGCCTGAAATAAATTTGTTTATGCCTTGTTTGCTAAAAACTTACGAGGTATTAGAGGACTGTATAGCTGTGCTACAAAAAGGCAAAGTTTGAGGCGGAAGATGAGGAAGATAAGGTCTCCTCTAGAATGTGGTTAACTGGTTTAATCACTTACAAATCTTTATACCTGTGAGCCTTATTCAATAGGACCATCCCAACGGTAGAGCTGATGGAGGCATCTTGCTTAAGTAAGAAATGGGAGGAGCAGAACGGAAATCCTCACCTGACCTTTGCGAGACACTACTATAGCCCCGTTGTGTTTTAGCTCTTCTGTGATATTTTCCTTGTTTGTTATTTCCACGGTGAGATCCTGGCTCTCCAGCATGTGGATAAAGGCTTCGATGCCTGTGCCTGGTGTGAAAGCCAAAAGCAGAGGAATCATAACACTGAACAAGAGAGTCTTTGATTTTGTTTGTTTGTTTTAAATCCATGACCAGCAAACAAAACCAGAGTCTAATAACCATGGACATCAGACAGCACATATGTGGTGGATCACTGCACATTAATTTTTGTAAAGTTAATGGATTTCAGTCTCATTGACTGAAATTTTGCATGGACTTCCCCCCTCCACCCCCTC